GGGGGGGGGGGGGGGGGAGGAAAACTTGTCAATCCAGAAGCATTTCCATTTAAAATTAGATGTCACACACAAAAGAAACACTTAAGCAAAACAACTGTCCTGTGTTCCTGCAGAATCAGCCACCTTCAAATCTAGAAAGAGGAAGCAGATATTAAATTCATTTTGAAAAATGAGAGTTCAAGTTAGGGCCAGGCCAGGTAAGGGAAACTTTCTTTACCTCCCTTTTGAGATGTTTACCAAGCATAAGAATCACGTTTCATATTCAATTTCAAGGCACTTTTCATAACCATGGAAAGTGTATGTCTTTATTCCCCTATTGTGTCCTTTTAAAAAAAAAACCAACACATTTAATTTTCCAAATTCTATTCTGATAGAAGCGGAGTCCTTTTTTTTTTTAATGTGACAATTCAAGCCTGTTTCTCTTTAAAAGATGCTCACTGCTTTTGTTTGCTCATCATTGAGGATGCGCTAATGGCAGCTTAAAAGAAGTCACATCTTGTTTTGTTACTTGGATATTGTACAGTTGGTTTTAAAATAATCCATGCTGCCAACGATAAAAATAGGCTTTTATCTCTGAAAGGGCTTTAGTGCATAAACCGTGCTCTCCAGCCTGCCAGACTCAGTGCGACTCTGATTAGGGTCTTTGGCCTTAAGTGACCTAAAGACCTGTCAGGAGTCAGTGAGAAAAGGCAGCTGAGAGTTTAACCAGATCCCCACCCATAGAAAAAGCACTGACAGATGTTGATTGCTGTTATTGGGACCTATACAGTGGGTATGATTGTCCGCCCTCCACCTACCTCAGAGATGTCAATTGAAGACCAAAGATCGTGGTGCCCATAAAAGGCTGTGCACAGCTGTGTTTTAAAATATGTTTTTTTGATTTCAGAGAGGATGGGAGAGGGAGAGGGAGATAGAAACACCCATGACGAGTGAGAATCATTGATCGGCTACCTCCTGCCTGCTCTCACCTGGAGATCGAGCCTGAGACTTGACGCAGAATCGAACTATGACTTCCTGGTTCATGGGTCAGTGCTCAACCACTGAGCTACACTGGCTGGGTTGTCGCCACATATTTCAATATGCACAGATGCTGTCAGTAGGGGTTATTGACAGGGCAGCAATGACCTGTCCTACCCCTTCCCAATAGCACGTCCTTGAAGCTTACAGAAACTCGATTTGCTGATACTCAACTCCTCTGAGGTTTTCTTGGAGGCCTGGGAGGGGAGAAGGCTGCACTGCAGTCCCCGCTCCCACTGAGCCCCCTGTCTAATCTTGTGATAGTCATACAAGGCTCCATCTTTCGGGAGAGGAGACTGATGCTCTGTGAAGGGCGGAGACTCGCTGGCCCAGGTTGCACAGGTGGAGGGATGCAGACTTCTGTCCGACTCCAGGTCCAGTGCTCTTTTGGGGCTGCCTCTGGGGGCAGACGTGTGAACAGAACCTGGTATCACCTGTAAACAGACAAAGGGAGGGAGAGTGAGAAGAACAGATTCAGAAGACTTCTCTTTTAAAAATAAAACTAGAGGCCCAGTGCACAAAATTCATTCACGGGTAGGGTCCCTAAGGCCTGATCAGTGATCAGGGCTGATCGGGGCCTTCCAGCTGCCGGCTGGGGCCTTCCTTCATTCCACACCGCCCCCTGGTGGTCAGCACATGTCATAGCGAGGGATTGAACTCCCAGTTTCCCTGTTCAACTCCCAAGGGGACACTTTGCATATTAGCCATATATCAATGAGATCTGGAAGAGATCAGGCCCTATATAAGTGGAGGATATAGTCATGGTGAAGTTGAATAATAGCAATGAGGAAACTGAAGGCTCAACATAGAGAGCTAACCTGTAATCTGGACCAACGTAGGAGGGGGCAAGGGGAAAGGCCAGGTCCTTTCCGATACCCTGAGAATCCCCAACAGATAAGATTTAATGACAACTCAAGAGCCCAGGACCCTTGGACCCACAGTTAATGGGTAACAACCTTCGTCTTCTCTTTCACTTTCCCTCTTCCAGCTTTTGATAAGAGCTTGGGCGGAACGGGGGATGAATAATTCAAGGGCATTGGCTCTAGAATGCTGACATGGAAGCCTGATGGTCCCGCTTTGCTGATCACTAGCTGGGAGATCTTGGACAACCCCTGCCTCTCTGTGGGCGTCAGTTTTCATATCTGAAAAATGGGGGGATAAGAATTGATTCAATCACTTATGTAACACAGTCTTTTAAACCTAATTGCCCTGACTAGAACCTCCCTTACAGTATTTAATAGAAGCGGCAAGAGTGGGCCTGTGTGGCTTGTTCCTGATCTTAGGGGGAAGCATTCAGTCTTGCTTCAGTAAGTGTGATGCTGTGGGGTTTTCATAGATGCCCTTCTCAAGTTGAGTTCCATCATCATCCTAGTTTATTTCACATTTTAATAACAGGATGTTGGATTTTTCCAGATGCCGTTTCTGAATCCATCAAGTTGATCGTATGGTCTTTGGCCTTTATTAATAGGATGAATTAATTTATTTTCAGAGATTTAAACCAACCTTGTATTCCTGGGATCAATCACACTTGGTCATGATGTATAATCCCATTTATAGATTGCCGGATTTGACTTGCTAATAATATTTTGTTAAGGATTTTTTGCATCTGTATTCATAAGGGATATTGGCCTGTAGTTTATAACAAATATTTATTGAGCCACTTATATGCTAGGCATTGTTCTAGGTATTAGGGATTCAGCAATTTTTCAGAACATATTTAAAATGATCTCTTCTTTTGTGCGACTTAACAATCGACTGGATGACTAGCAAGGCGGCTTTCCATTCACATTTGACATTTTTTTCCTCTGGCCCCTCAATGATACCCCTGTCCGGCCTCAGGGCTTACATGCTAGACTTTCGGTAAACTGGACTTTGGCATTTGAAGATTGGAAGAGGCCTACTGTCTTTTTTAAATTGCTGTTCCTTTTTCCCTGGTATAATGTCACTGTTCATTGAATCAAGGGGCACATAGAAAGGGGCACACACTAATGCATTTGCACTAACTGACACAACCATGGAACCAGCACCCACATCAAGAACAAACTATGACCTGCAGCTGAGAAAGTCCTTATGTCCCTTCCGGTCCCTAACTATCCCAACCATCAAGAAAACGACCTCCCAACTTCGAATACCAGGTGTTAGTTTCCTCAACTTTATGAAAGACGGATTCCTCCTAGAGCAGTGGTTCTCAACCTTCCTAATGCCGCGACCCTTTAATACAGTTCCTCATGTTGTGGTGACCCCCAACCATAAAATTATTTCCGTTGCTACTTCATAACTGTCATTTTGCTACTGTTATGAATCGTCATATAAATATCTGATATGCAGGATGTATTTTCATTGTGACAAATTGAACATAATGAAAGCATAGTGATTAATCACAAAAACAATATGTAATTATATATGTGTTTTCCGATGGTCTTAGCCAACCCCTGTGAAAGGGTCGTTCGCCCCCCAAAGGGGTCGCGACCCACAGGTTGAGAACCGCTGTTTTAAATCTTGGTTCTTTCCCTCAGGATTGTATTTGTGAGGTTCGTTCCTGTGGCTTCACGCTGTCATGGTTTGTTCACTCTCCTTGTTATCTACTGTTGCCTTCGATGAATATTGAGCAGTTTACCCTTTCTACTGTGATTGGACATTTGGATTATTCCTACGCGTGCTGTGGTCTGTCTTTTGGGGCACACGTTGGCTCACTTTGGGGCCCATGCCGAGGAGTGGAATTGCTCTGTCACAGGATATAGTTAAGTTCAGTTTTCAAAGACTTCTACCACATGGCCGCACAAAGTAGGCTCTGCCCAACCATGTGTGACACTTTCAGGTGCTGTGCACGGTCATCCACAGGTGCAGCCGTTCTGGTATTGCATTGTGATTTTTTTCTCTGGCAACTAATGCAATTAAGATGCACGTTTCTTTTAAATGTGATGATTAAACAGAGCCATCTGTCTGCCTCAGGTCTTTCCGTCACAGATACTGCAGCTTCCTTGGCCGCCCCTTTCATGCTGATAGTAAAAGCAAGGGGCCATTCATGTCCAGGCTTCCCCCACAGCCCCTGACTGGCTTTCTGTTTCCCTAGTATGAAGAAGAAAAATGACTCTGGGAAATCCAACAAGACCACCCAGGAGCAAGAGCCTACATATCAGTATAGCATGAATTTTGAGAAGGTGGGCAAATGCATCATAATCAACAACAAGAACTTCGACAAATCGATAGGTAGGTGCTGTGGGCACGAGCTCACCTTTCCCCTTCCCTTCCAGTTTCTCCAGTGGTGCTAAGACTTGTAGCACTCATTCAGCAGAGAATGCTGTGCCCAACTACTAGGGCACACGGCCCTTTTGTAGATGGTATTTGCATGTCCAGGAGGAAGGGATGTGAAGAAATCAGGAACTTTTAGTCGAAGTTTCTGTATAGGGACCCTGTTGCTAATGCTCAGGCAAAATTCAAATCTCGCGTGAATTTTGGGGCACCCCATGTGTGCATGAGCTGAGACTCAAGGGGAGCTGTTGGCCTTCACTACAGCTGAGAGTTACTTCCTGCACATGGCGCCTGGCCGGGCGATGCCGGCACACGGTGCTCAGCCGAGGATTGCTCACCGTGCACTGGCGCTTGACTCCCACAGAAATGTCCGTCCGGACCGGAACGGACAGAGATGCCGGGTCCCTTTTCAAGACCTTCGGAGACCTGGGTTTCGACGTGGAGGTGTATAACAACTACTCTTGTGACCAGATGTATGCTGTGCTGAAAAAAGGTGCGTGCCCACCCCCTCCTCCCTGTGTCCTTTTCCTGTGCCCGAGAGAGGAGCAGGGCCCCAGCTGGTCTCTGTAGGATGCTTTGCAGGACACAGGGATTTCAGGGTGGGGGGCCTTTCCTGCCTCCGGACCACTCCATACCTGTCTCCGGGGTGGGTGGGTCTCTTTCAGGAAACTTAGCTTTCTCCCTAAAAAGATGAAATCAGCTTCTATGACAGCAAGAGAAATAAGATCTGTCTCTACAGAAAGTCTCAACTTCAAAAGTCTGATTCCTAGGGAAGTAACAAGTGGATGCCATGCCGCTCACCACACAGTTTAAGAGTAAACTTTTCCCTGGTGGAAGAGACAGAAGAATAATCCCATGTACCTCACAATGACGTTCCCTCCTCCCCTGGCCCCCGACAACCACCATTCTTTCTGTCTCTGAGAATTTGACTCCTTAGGGACCTCGTAAGTGGGAACATCAAGTATTTGTCCGTTAGTGACTGGCTTATTTCACTTGGCATGATGCTGTATTTTCTTTAACAAATACTTGCATGACAAATATTAACTCACATAATAGATACTATCCTATCCATTTTACAGACAAGGAAACCAAGACAAAGAATGGCAAAGAAATGTGCCTGATGTCACAGACCTAACAGATAGCGGGGCCACCTCCTTCAGCACCCCAAAATGCTGCCTCCCAGCAGCTGCCTAAACCCTCGCACCTGTGGGGTCACTTCCTCATGAGACAGCTCCATTCTGGTTTCAGACTGAGAATGCTAGACTTCTCTAACTTCTCCACTGGTCCTCCCTCTCTCCACTGGGGTGTTTCTCCCCCTGCATGGCTCTCTGTCAGTGGCAGCTGCCAGGCGGAAGCGGGCACCGCCTCTGAGGTCCCACAGGGCTTGTGCTTTGACTGGTCACTGTTCAAATCGCTTGCTTGCAGCCTCTGAGGAGGACCACAGTAATGCAGCCTGCTTTGCCTGCGTCTTGTTGAGCCATGGAGAAGAAAACTCGATTTACGGAACGGATGGCAAGATGGACATCAAGGCCTTGACGAGCCTTTTTCGGGGGGACAGATGCAGAACCCTTTTAGGGAAACCCAAGCTCTTCTTCATCCAGGTAAACCCTGTTCAAAGCCAGCCCCACTGAAAGGGGGAAAAGGTTACAGCGTGACTTGGACTGTATCTTCTCTACAAATCTACGCGCTGTTTCGATCGGGGTATGCAAATGAGGGTTTTGTTTTTCTACCTCTTAATGCTTGGCTTCTGTGTTGGCTTCAGATCACAAATCATGAGGGTTTCTTTATGAGTTTCCACACTGCTACTTGCTTTGCTGACGAACTCAGTTCAACGTTCATTGAGTCATTCAGCAGATTATCACTGAGCTCCTCAGTCATGCCAAGCACGGTTCCAGGCACTGGGACACAGCAGGGAACAGCACGCGTGTTTCTGTTCTTGACTCCACGGAGTGATCTCTGCTTTGCCACTTAGGCATGCCGCGGGACAGAGCTCGATGACGGGATCCAGGCCGACTCAGGGCCTATCGGTGACACAGATGCCAGCCCTCGACAGAAGATCCCCGTCGAGGCCGACTTTCTCTTTGCCTATTCCACAGTGCCAGGTATCAAGTCCCTTATCTGCTCACTGGGCCATGCCATTCCACCATCAGAGTGCAGGCTTGGGGCTGTATGCGTTTCCCATTGCCACGGTGATAAACTACCACAAACATAGTGGCTGAACAGTTGTGTGATCTTAACAGCTCTGAAGGTCACAAACATAGTGGCTGAACAATTGTGTGATCTTAACAGCTCTGAAGGTCACAATTCCAAAATGGGTTGGCAGAGCTGCATCCCTTTCAGACAGAAGCTGTAGGGGTTAAAATCGGTGTCTTCACTTTCTCCCGCATTCCTTGGCCCACGGCCCCCTTCCTCCAGCCCTCCCAGGGTAGCTGGCTCTCCTAGCTCTGCCCCTAAGGTAATTGCTCTTTCAGCCGCCTCTCACTTCGAGATTTCTT